TTTGGGAGCCCAAACGAGCTTTCGTTGAGGATGTTTAATGGTGGAGAGTTGGGGTGGGCGCACAGGCATTGCCCCTCTCTACAAATGGGTTTCACCACAGAAAAGGCATCAAAATCTTGTCTGATCTATGGAAAAGTGTTGGCTAAATTACTTCAGCTTAGTCATTCAACAAACATTTATCCACCACCTAACCTGCTATGTGCTAGGCAAATTCCAGAGATACCACAGCCCTTAATAAACTTGTGGAGCTTATTCAGGGACTTTACACATGAGAGAGACACGTCCTGGGCAGTGGCGAGATGATGTGGATGTCAGGGCAACGTGGCAGGTGCTAAGGGATCATAGAGACAGGGCAGGGTGGATAAGGACACAGGGCCGTGTCCTGCCCCAGATAAGGAGAAGGTGACTTGCAGACTTTCCTGGGGAGGGGTGACAGCCTGTGCCAGGAACCAGCATGCCTGGGGAGCAGGAGAGGGGCAACCCGACAGCCTGGGATTCAGGAAGCAACCTCTTTTGGCCTAGGTCTCAGGCAGTGGTCACATCGTGGAATAGTCTCTTCTGCACACTGACCTTGATCCGATGCTTCTTACCAGTGTGCAAATCAGTCAATCATGTCACATTTTAGGGGAGGAAGAGACTTTTCTCTTACCTTCAAGGTTATTTCAACTGGTCTAATAGTTAAATTATGGGACAATTAACAAGAGAAAATAACCAAATTTAACTAACATACATACACATGGGAACCCCACATACATGAGAGAGTCAGCAACCCACATACATGAAAATTAACAAGAGAAAATAACCAAATTTAACTAACATACATGAGAGAGTCAGCGACCCACATACATGAAAGGTTCAGAGACAGCAAGGAAACACGGGGAGATAGGACATTCTGAATTAAGGATGACCTAAGGCGCCTGTGGGGGAGGAGGTTAGTCTCAGGATGATAGGAGTGTTCTAGGAAATGACATTTGGGCTAAGATCAGAAAGATGTCCAAGAGTTAGCTTGATACCTGATTATCTCTAATCTTATTGAGCAATTACCTAAGTCAGCTTCACTTGTTGCATTAACTTCTTTAATCCTCCCAACAACCCTGCAAGGCAGGTATTGTTATTTTCTCCATTTCACGGATGAATAAACGAAAGCACAATGATGTCATTCTCCTGGAGGTCTTAGTCCTAGCTCCAGGTCTTAGTCCTTAGTGGAAGGCTGTGGAGGTGGGTGTGGTCTAGGAATGAAAGGACCGACTGCTGATGTGCCGGGCTGTTGGTCTAGAATCTAGATGAAACTGGTAAAGAGAGAAAGAGCCACGTCATGAAGATACAATAGTTTATGATATTCATGCCAAAAATTGCATTGTTTTGCCTAGGGCCAGCAGGAAATATTTTAAAGCAGGGAGCACATGATCATACTGCATTTCAGAAAGGTCACTCAGGCTGCCATAGCCAGGCATCCGATAACGGTGACCTTGCCTGAGGAGGTGTAGAGAAGCAGACAGATAAGACAGTGTCTGCTGGAAGTGAGCACCTCCAGGTAATTTAAAAGAAAGACTGAAGTCCCTTAGAAGCAATGATGTGAAATATGCTAATTACCAATTATTTTTATCCAGTCCTTTATAGCAGTTTGGAAGTTCTTAAACCGACTCCCATATATATGAAAAACCATAGTATGCAGAGGATGTGTTGGCAAATGGTGCACCTGACATCTGTATAATTTTGTTAACCAGAGTCACCCCAACAAATTCAATAAAAAGAAAAAAAACATAATATGGATTGCATTAAAATATTCTATAATTTTCCCTGGCTGGTGTGACTCAGTTGGTTAGAGTGCTGTCCTGTCCACCAAAAGGTTGGGGGTTCGATTCCTGGTCAGGGCACATACCTAGGTTGCGAGTTCTGTTCCCAGTTGGGGCAAGTACTGGAAGACAACTGATCGATGTCTCTCTCTCTCTCTCTGTCTCTCTCTCTTTCTTCCTTTCCCTCTCTCCAAAATCAATAAGCATGTTCTTGGGTGAGGATTTTTAAAAAAAACACCTATAGCCCTATCAGGTTTGGCTCAATAGATGGAGCGCTGGGCTGCGGACTGAAGGGTCCCAGGTTCAATTCCAGTCAAGGGCACGTGCCCGGGTTGTGGGCTGGGCTCGATCCCCAGGAAGGGGCCTGCAGGGGGCAGCCAATCAATGATTCTCTCTCATCATTGATGTTTCTTTCTCTCTCTCTCTCTCCCTCTCCCTTCCTCTCTCTGAAATCAATAAAAATATATTTTTAAAAACCACCTGTAAAAAAAAATAAAATAAAAAAATAAAAAAATAAATAAAAACCACCTGTAATTCATTCAGCCAATTGGAAACCACGTGAACGACCTGCTTCCTGGCAGCCGGGTCACCATGACCCACCTTCTCAGCCCCTTCTGGCCTTGACACCATCAGGGTCCTGAGGGGCTGCTGTGGCCAGGGCTCCCAGGAGGGGAGCTCCCTGTTAGGGCCTCTCAGGCACCCACTCTGTGCTAGGAAATGCCCCCCTGACCAACTCTAAATGCCAGCCCACAACTTCCGCTTCTCCAAGTTTGACTCCCAGATTACTTCTTTGCCGCGTGGCTGGAATAGAGTTCTGGTGAATAACTTCTGCCAAGATGAGAGCTGGGTTTCTAAAGACAGATGTGTGGAGAGGATATTTTGGGTATGAACGTCTTTGGCAGAAAATGGAATGCTGTGGAAATGTGGAGTCCGGGGTTTTCTCTGCCTGTGGTTTTCAGGGGTCCCAAGTAGGGGGCGGGGGAGGGGGGCTGCAGAGAGGGCTCCACCGTGGAGGCAGGGATTCGCCACAGAGGAAGTGGCCTCCCAGTACCTGACTGAGTCCAAGTAAGACACCGAGGACACGTCTCTTCTTCTAAGAAAAGGAGCATCATGGGCTTTCAGGATTGGAGAACGTTCCCTGCCGGATGGGAGCTGGGATTTGTAGCTCCTGTGTGTGTAGAATACGTGCTGATCTGATGGGGCATCTGACCATCCTCGGATTTCTAACGCTTACATTCTGTTCAAGTTCAGATATGTCTATGGAAGGCAGAAAAATACAGGCTAACCCTTCTCTTGGGTTTCCAGGAAACTGCCAGTCCTTTCCGAAACGCATTTAGTGCTGTTTCCTCCTGGACGGGTGTTTTGCGCCACCTTGTGGGTATATTGGGAACTGCTTCTCAGGGCTCAGAGAACCACCTATTTGTAACCCTCCCCAGCTGAGAAGGTGGGAGGGGCCTGCCACACCCACTGACCCCCTAAAAGCAGGTTCCAGGCTTGCCCACCGAACAGAATGAGCATGATGAGAATGTTAATCTTCCCTGCTACTGTGCACTGCTCCAGATCATCCACAACTGCCATAGCCCATAAAACTGTACACTGCAGGTGGAGATGGGACAAGGCCTGCACGGCTCCTCAAGTCAGGTGCTTTCCTAAGAATAAAGTGCTAAGGCCTTCTTTTTCTTTTTTTTTTCTTTTTTCCCAGAAAATGGGGAATGAAGGTTGGCAGCAGCCCTTCCTGCTTGTGAAGTGCTGGCCTTTGCAGCACTTCTCTGTGGGTACTGAGCTGGAGGGGGTGCTCTTCGCACAGGAGCAGAGCAGGGGCGGGTTTCCATCACATGCACTGCAGCTCGTCTTAGGTGTAAAGACAAGCCCAGAAACAGCATAGGGCCGGAGGGGCCGCCCGGGCTTGCACCTGGCTGGGTGAGGGGCCTTTGGCAACCAGCTCTTGCCGGTCGTAGAACAGAACACTGTGGGCTGTGTTGGGTGAGGAGAGAACAGAGTTTCAGTGCCTCACAGCCTGCTTTTCAACGTGCCCTTCGCATACCAGCCTTGGGACCTTGGACATGAGCCTAAGACAATCAGTCTGCTAGTCTATAAATCAGGGATAATAGTAGGACCTGCCTCGTGAGATTCTTGGAGGATTAAATGAGATATAGCCCCAGCTTGGCTCTTGCCTGACTCCCATAACTTGTCCGTGTGAGCAAGAAATGCCTGCTGCAGTTCCCTGGACCCCTAACATCTGGTAGGAAGGAGGGAGGTGATAGGACCAATGGCAGGTCAAGGGTATCTGTTCTATCAGAACAACCCAAACTAGGTTATTGTCTCTGAGGAGGTAGATCTGAACTGCAGCGTGCCTGAAGGAGGGGTGCAGTCACAGAACTGAAACGTGCTGGTGATGCGAGGCTCCCTGTATCCTGTGGCCGGGCTCCCCACCCTCATGCAGACACGTGCCCAGGAGGCACAGTGGGGTGATGAGTAGCTCCCACGGCTCTCTCAGGGGTCCCCTTTGAGACGGAAATCAGCCGAACTGCCATGTGAGGTCTGGTGGACAGGTAGTGTGCGTGCTGGTCAGCCAGAGGGTGAACGTGGCTCTTCCGAAAGCCATCTGAGGGGACCCAGGATTTAGCAGCAAAACCTGAAGGCAGCCCTTTGTCATTTCTGTTCTCGTTCATTAACAATCCTAAGGTCTGGAGTGTGTGTCTAGTGTGTCTAGAGGTTGCCATCACCTCACAAGAAGGAAATATGCTTTTATTATCTACCATGTGCCAGGCACTGGGCCAGGGAGTTCAGACATTGAATCCGCGCAGCAGCCCTGTGAAGTAGGAGTTCTTTCACCCCTTTTACGGGTGTGGAAGCTACAGTGCAGTGCAGTGAAGTGGGTAGTGAGAATGGGGCTGGGTCAGGAGGGAGGGCGGATCATCTTAGCGGTATTGCATCTTTCTGTCCCCACAGCACCAGGCACAGTGCCTGGCCTCAGGAAGAGCTTAGCAAATGCCTGCTGAGGGGAGAATGGAAGGATCTGTGTGGCAAAGGGGCGTTCGGACACATGGCAGGTGCCCCACGGGCTCTGAAAGACCAGCTGTGTGGAGCAGCAGCTGGCAAGTCATCAATTCAGAATTCACTGTCCTCGGGCCAGTGGCCTGCTGGCTCACAGCCAGCCATGTACAAGGGCTGACTTGATCAGCTTTGGCCCTTTTATTTTAGGCACCCCACCTTCCAAAGAGGTGCCGGCTGGGAACTACCCATTCATCGTCACCTCCGACGACGGACGGAAGGTTCCTGTGGTCCAGGCCTATGCTTTTGGCAAATACTTAGGCTATTTGAAGGTTGAGTTTGATGCAAAAGGGAATGTCATCACGTCCCATGGAAATCCCATCCTTCTCAACAGCAGCATTCCTGAAGGTACGTGGAACTCGGGGCCATGTCCCATTAACCCCAGAATTAGGTGGCTGGATTTTTCCTCCCTTTTTTTGTTATTATTTCAGGATAAGACTATAATATTTTGTAGAATTGGGCTTCTCCTGAATTTATCATTTTCGTGGATAAAGAGATTTAAAACACCCAAATGCCACAAATCCCTGTTTGCTTTTTTGAGTCCTTTTAGCATCAGACACTGTCCTGCCTCTTGGGCCTTCTCAAGCTTGGCCCTGGCGTGGGAAAGCCACTCTCAGCTCACTTCCAGAGGACAGCTGACGACGGAAGCAAAGGGGTTCCGACCCGGCAGAGCAGGGCTCCAGCCCTGCCCCGCCCGGCAGCAGTGTGCCTGGGGCAAGTCGCCCCAGCTCAGGGGCTTCAGCTGCATTATTTATCAAATGAAGGAGTGTCTTTCTTCCTTTTTGGTCTGGGACTCAGAGTAAAAAATACATCTTATGTCATCCATTTTCATCCGGTATGCACAGACTCACTCCTACACCTCTCACCTGCCGCCTGCTGCTTAGCGTGATCAGGTCAGGGAAGGGGGGCCGTGAGGGGCCACAGTGCCCTGAAGGGCAGTGGTCCCCACACAGCCACACAGACCTCCCAACAGCCAGAGGGAGGGGCCGGCCACGCAGACGGCAGAACCTCAGCAGCCTGTGTACTTGCCCCTGGGCCTTCATCACCCACCAGCACCGCCAGCGCCATCGCAGGCGGGCCAGCCGGGACTCAGAGGTGATGAACTGATGGTCGGAGACGCCGCACGTCTTCAAAGAAAGGTTCATTCCAGGTCTTAGTACCAGGAAACAGAATAGAGGCTCCTAAGGAAGTTGCATAGTCAAAACCACAATGTACACAAGCACGGTAAAGCAACGCGTACGCACACAGGTTGCGGAATGGCGTTTGATTCCTTCCTCAAAACGGAGGCCAATGTGGGATCGGCTTTTACTACAGACTGAGTTTTTTTGTTGTTATTTATTTATTTTTCTTCTAGATCCGACCATAAAAGCAGACATTAACAAATGGCGGGTCAAACTAGACAATTATTCCTCCCAGGAGCTGGGGAAAACCATCGTCTACCTGAACGGCTCCAGTCAGTCGTGCCGCTTTCAGGAGTGCAACATGGGCAACCTGATCTGTGATGCCATGGTGAGTGGTCCACGGGGTGCAGGGCCCAGGCCAACGGAGGGGAAGAGGGAGGAGGAACGGGGGAGGGAAGATGCAAGGGCGACAACCTGATGGTTATAGAACTGAGCATTTAAAACAAAGTCAGTGCCCAGACAAAAGCTGGGCAGGATTCACACTGAGCACCTTGGGAAGGAGTGTGAACGAGACCAGCTGACCATCGCTTGGATCTGCAAGGACTGAAGCCTTTATTGTAAGGTGTTCATTGTTGGATGTCTGCATTTGGGTGTTGCTTTTCCTGTAAGATGATCGGAATATGCAAACTCTGCTTCTCTGAGGATGTAGACACAGTAGGTAAAACACACCTGCTGGGGCCTAACGTGGAGACTGTATTTCACGGGTCTGTCCTCTTGGCTCCAGAGAACGAGGGCTGGTGGCACCAGAACCTCCTGCACAAGCAGAGGGTGACAATACACACTCACGAGGATGATAACCACTCCTGAGGCTGAGCAAGGTGACCCAGCAAAGCACCGCTCTGCCCACCCCTCTGGGGGCTTTGCTGGGCCAAGGTCTCCCCAGTCAGAGGCAAAGCCCACACCCACGGGGCCGCTTCTCAGCCTGTGCTCTGCACATGCCTGGGACACAGCCACGCCCAGTAAATGTCTGCCGTGTAAATGAGTGTTCACGCTCTCCACGGTAAAACCACGGCTGCGAGGGAAGTGGCTAGAGATTCGCCAGGATGTGTGATGTTTCGAGGAAGGTCCCGAAGGAAACACCCCAGGCCGTAAGCTGTGCCGCGCCAGCACGGCCACGGGTGGCCCTGAGAGGGGACGGTGAAGGATTGAGAAAAGACAGACAAGAGGAGAAAGCTGGGTCTCCGTGGGACGCTGCCCTCTCTGATGGAGAGGTAGGGACAGCGCCACGGACTACAAGCCGTGTCTTTATTTTATAGCCAGATTCCATGAGACAAAGTAAGGGCGTGGTCAAGATGTTTACAACATTCTCGTGGGTTTCGATCCTACTCAATTACATGCACCTGAACTCTATCAAGCTCACATCACTCAGACATGTGGGGCCACGTGTTCGGACCATAGGTTCAAGCTTACAACTATAGCCATTGGCTATAATTGTGCTGGGAGGCCTCTTGCCCTCCAAGCTGGGACTTGCACATGGCCATGAGAGGACTGTGCCCTCTCATTAATCCGAGGCTTGAACCTGTCCAAACACTGTAGCCGCTCTCCACAGTAAGCAGTGCTTACCTCTCCGCTAAGAGACTGGGGCCAGGGTAAGAAAACTCTCCGTTTTGCACTATTTTTTTTTTTCCAAACGAGAATATATTCATTTTATTTCTTGTAACTAAACATATATTTTGTAAAAGAAGAGTAAGAATGCAACTGATTCTCCCCAGTTTCAGGAGGCTGTCCTTGGGCCTTCAAAATAGCTGGTTGGGAATTGGCTGGGGACCTGGACGTGGGGGCCAGGGTCCTGTGGGCCTGAGGCCTGGAGTCAAAAGGCTTTCAGGTTCGGCCTTCAGGAGCCAGTGTGGGGCCGGCCCTGGAGGGACAGCCCCGCAGGCCAGTCCGCACGGAGGCCCGTCCTGACTCAGAGCCGGTTCGCTGAGGCCCATGGAGAGCACGGGGTCTTAGGAGAGGGGCTCGGAGCTTGAGATGGGTCACCGTGTCTTATTTTTCTTCTCATTCTGATGACTCTTGAGAGCTCTCTGGGAACACGGGAGCGGGGAGAAGCAGCTTCATGTCCTCAGGAGAGCCAACCACACTCCTGGACGGTTCCCAAGGAGGAAGACCCAGAATAACTCACGTAAACTCTGCTACCGTTGCAGATTAACAACAACCTCAGACACTTGGATGAAATGTCCTGGAACCACGTGTCCATGTGCATTTTAAACGGCGGTGGCATCCGGTCTCCCATTGACGAGCGGAACAATGGTATGCTCCCCAGGCTCGGGCCCTGGGCCCGGGGTGGCTGCGCCCACGGGCAGACTCAGCTCTGCAGCCTGCCACGCACCACAGTGTCAGTGCGAGCTCACTGCCACTCAGTCCTGCCTCGCCCAGAGAGCGCGCGCACACACACTCACACAGAGGTGTTTTCTCAGGTGGGCAGCAGACTGAGGTTTGTGGACCCCAAGCTTGATCTAAGCTTCTGACTCACGAAGTTAAATGGGAATTGTTGCTGATTCATGCAAGGTATTGGCAGCCTGCACGCTGATATCTGGAAAGAGAAAGGCAACACTGTTCTGTGCTGGGAAACATACCACTGGATTAAATCCTTTCCGTGCACTTACAGACATCCAGGGTCACATTACATGGTGAACCACACCAGCCAGACGGCTGCTCAGACACTCAGGCTGTCTTGCCTGATACACTCTCATAACCAGCCCGTTTTGGTGTAAGCCCCAAGCTGGTCGCGTTGTCTCAATCAGGGGCAGGCGGCAGGGAAATGCTGTCTGTCTGGAGGACCTAAGCAATGCTTAGCACTCACCACAGATCCAGCCTCACGCCAGGAGATCCAGGCTAGGCACAGGCGACTTGGGAGCCACAGCCGGTCACCAGCTCCTGCCATCTTGCTCAGGGGGGAGGGCACGGCCAAGGGCCTCTTGAATCCACTCCCACCTGCGCTGCGTCAGGAGCCACTTAGACTCCGGGTGCTGACCTCATCGCCTCCCATCCCCCTGGCCTCCCCCGCCAGCCCTAAAGGAACCTGGTCTGGGGAATGCCTGTTCTCAAGATACCTCCTTCTTCCTCCTCTGTGACCACCCGCAGGCACTATCACGTGGGAGAACCTGGCGGCCGTCTTACCCTTCGGAGGCACCTTTGACCTGGTCCAAGTAAAGGGCTCCACCCTGAAGAAGGCCTTCGAGCACAGCGTGCACCGCTACGGCCAGTCCACCGGCGAGTTCCTGCAGGTGGGCGGTAAGTCCCCCCGGGTGAGGTGGGATTCCCGGCTGGTGGGCTTTGCTCCTCTTCAGCAGGACCTCTGTGGCCAGGCCTCTTCAGGTTTTCCATAGGCCAACCCTGGTGCACAGTCTTTTAAAGGATGCGGCCTCGCAGACCACCGAGATGAGGTCAGCGCCAGAGCCCCGAGGCCCCGCACTGAGCAGTATTAACAGTCCGATTGGGACAGCAGGTGGGCCCTATGCAGGTGCAGGCCCTCCTAACTCCAACGGGCCAGCTGCCTTGAAGTCGTTTCTATTAAAATCTTAGTTGTTCAAACATTCAATACTCTTTATAAAATAAAATAAAATCCTTCCTGTGTTCTAGTCGTAACCATCTGGAACCCTGCAGAGGTTCAGAGGCGTGCAGCATCCAATCAGTTATTAACACGGACGATTTCCGGGAGGGGCAGCCTGCTGCGTAGACACACCTGATTATTGAAGCAAGGGGTTCGAATTGGGCGGAACATTTGTTCTGGTCGGGCTCCAGCCCTGGCCTCACCCTACGGTGGTCTGGTTCCACGGTGACCTGGGCAAGTCCTCAACATCTCCGAATGCAGAGGAAACCTGCCTGCCCTGCTCATCCCGCCAATTCCAGTGAACAGCGATGAAAATAAATTCTTCCGAAATTGCCAAGGACTTCTGAAACGCTTTTGTCAATAATCCCACAGCCCCGTGCATTAACCTTTACATTAACATTCTTACTTGGCCCTGAAGGATATCCTGGCCTCGTTTTGTTTTGTTTTTTACTGTAGATGGTGGCCCCACTCGATGGGTGTGACTGTGTCGCTCTCCCTCTGCAGAACGCTTGGGACTGAGGGGCTGCAGAAGGTGGGGGGCCTGGGCTCGGGCCTGCTGCCTGAGGGGTAACACACACATTCTGCGTTTTTCCAGGAGAGAGTGGGGCGAACAGCGGGTTTTGATGCTCCAGCCCGGTGCTGGGGAGTTTGTATGTCCTGTGGAAGTCACTCAGGTCCAAATTATCACCATTTTGTACTCTTCAGCATTGTAACAAATGGCCTGCCCCTCTCATCTATTTCTCATTTTCCAAAGCTGCTGAACCAATTCATTTGGGATTTTGGAAAGATGTAGTTTCTCCCACGGAGCCAGTCCTTGCCCATTCTCAGCCAGAGCCCGTTTTCCTCCCGTGATTCTCAGGCCTCCCAGAAGGACTCACCCTAACCAGGAAAGGGTAGCTGCACTGTCACCTCAACTCCTGCTGAAATTTCACTCACGCTCAAACTCAATGAAAACCAAGCCCAGGGCCCCAACTCCAGGTTTTGGCCAATATCTTTTTCTCAGAAAACAGAAATTTCCCTTTGGGTCCAGTGAAAACATACAGACTCATTTCTTTTCTAGGAATCCAGGTGGTGTATGATCTTTCCCGAAAACCTGGGGACAGAGTGGTCAAACTAGATGTTCTCTGCACCCGGTGCCGAGTGCCCCATTACGAGCCTCTCAGAACGGATGAGGTGTATAAGGTGGTCCTCCCGAGCTTCCTTGCTAACGGCGGAGATGGATTCCAGATGTTAAGAGAAGAGGTACTAGAACATAACTCAGGTAAGCACAGGTGCCTGTTCCTCTCCACGTCCCACAGATACTCAGGAACAACAGTGCTGGTCCAAAGCGGGGAGCTACTCACGATGTCAGAGCGGCGAAGGCAGAGGCCAGCTCCCTCCCGTGTGTGGGAACATGTGCCTGTCCCTTCCCAGCACCCATACCCAGCCATCCACACCAGGGAAAATGCATTTATAAATCAAAACTGTTTTTAAAACTCTTTTATGTACATATAAACAGCTATTTAAATGTTGAAAAATGAATTTTTTCATTTACAGAAAAAACATACCTCTAGAACTTTAGGTTGGCCATGGAAAATCATCATAGTACATCATCTCAGCTTTCTACAAGAAGCTTTTAGTGTGAATGGGTCCAGGGGTGCATGGGAGATGACCCCGCCCTTTCAGCACAGCGCGTTGGCGGAGCACGTTATGGGAACCACACTTGAGCCAGTCAGTATTTCTGTCAGCATTTAGGGCCATTAGACACCAGCCTTTTAAAAATCCTTTTGAGAACCACATCATGTGCATGAAGTCCACCGAGAGAATACACTGCCCCTTCCTCTTCTCCAGGGAGAAATCAGTGTGCTTGCAAGACACGGGCACAGCTCCCCTGAATCTTCGGGGTGCAGCTCAGCCAGCTTCCTCCGCAGCCCTGCCAGGGCAGCCCTGCCATTCCAGCTGCTGGTTCCAAGGAGGTAGAGAGCAGTCAGGGCAGAGGAGGCAGCCTTTCCCAGGCAAAGGCACTGGCTACTTCTGTGCACTCCATGCCAGAGATGGAAAGGCAAGCTTAACAAGGTGTTCTCTTTAGCACCATGAGGCAGAGGCTGGTGGCTGGGCAGCACCAAGCCCACCCTGGCCGATGGGTGTTAGAGAAGAGGAACTCAACCAGAAGGCTGAGGGAGCCTGGGCCCTAAGGGTTCTCAACCCTGGCTACACATCAGAACCACTAGGGAGCATTTTAACTACCAGTACCTTGGCCCCAACTTTTAAGAGATTCTAATTTAATTGGGTAGGGAGAAAAGTCTCTTCCAGTGATTCTAATGTATTCCCAGGGGTGAGAACCAGAGAGGAGGTCTTTTTTAAGTATTAGAGTGATTTTTTTTCATTGAGATTATATTGACATATAACATTAGTTTCAGGTGTACAACGTAATGACATGATCTTTGTATACATTGTGAAATCACCCAAGTCTAGTTAACATCCATCACCATACATAGTTACAAAAAATACATATTTTTCTTGTGATGAGGACTTTTAATGTCTACTCTCGTAGCAATGCGGTATTGATATAGTCACCATACTGAGCTTTACATTATCAACACTTTATAATTGGAAGTTTGTACTTTTTAATCCCCTTCACCCTTTTCTCCCACCCCTCATTACCCTGCCTCTGGTAACCACCAATCTGTTCTCAGTATCTGTTAGGTTGGTTTCGTTGTTGTTGAATTCCACATATAAGTAAAATCATATGATATTTGTCTTTTTTTGCTTATTTCATGTAGCATAATGCCCTCAAGATCCATCTGTGTTGTCCCAAATGGCAAGATTTCTTTTTTTTTTTCTTATGGCTGAATAGTGTGCATACACAGCATGGGGCAAAAGTAAGTTTACAGTTGTGATGCTTTGAAACACAGAATTTATTCTTGTATTCTTATTATTATATTGTTTTCCATATGAACAACTGTAGAGCTACTTTTGCCCCACCTATATATACGTATGTCACAATTTCTTTATCCATTCATCCACTGATGGATACTTAGGTTGCTTCTTTATCTTAGCTACTGAAAATAATACTGCAGTGTACATGGGGGTGCATATATTTTATGTAGTGTTTTCATATTCTTTGGATAAATACTCATGTGTGGAATTGCTGGATCATATGGTAGCTCCATTTTTAATTTTTTGAGGGACTTCCATAAGGTTTTCCATAGTGGCTGTGTGCATTTAAATTCCTACCAACAATGCACATGGTCACCAACAATCCTTGTTTTTTTTATGACAGCCATTTTAATAGGTGTGAGGGGATACCTCACTGTGGTTTTGATTTTCATTTCCATGATGATTAGTGATGTTGAGCATCTTTTCTTTCTTGTGTTTATTAAATCTTTATTGTTCAGATTATTACAGTTGTTCCTTTTTCCCCCCATAGCTCCCTTTCACCCAGTTCCCACCCTACCTTCTGTCCTTACACCCCCCACTGTCCTCATCCATAGGTGTATGATTTTTGTCCAGTCTCTTCCTGAACCCCCGACACCGCCTTCCCCTTGAGAATTGTCAGTCCACTCCCTTTCTATGCCCCTGATTCTATTCTATTCACTAGTTTATTCTGTTCGTCAGATTTTTTATTCACTTGATTTTTAGATTCACTTGTTGATAGATATGTATTTGTTGCCCCTTTGTTGTTCACAATTTTTATCTTTACCTTTTTCTTCTTCATCATCTTCTTAAAGAATACCCTTCAGCATTTCATATAATACTGGTTTGGTGGTGATGAACTCCTTTAGCTTTTTCTTATCTGTGAAGCTCTTTATCTGACCTT